TACTACTACTACTACTACTACTACTACTACTACTACTACTACTACTACTACTACTACTACTACTACTACTACTACTACTACTACTACTACTACTACTACTACTACTACTACTACTACTACTACTACTACTACTACTACTACTACTACTACTACTACTACTACTACTACTACTACTACTACTACTACTACTACTACTACTACTACTACTACTACTACTACTACTACTACTACTACTACTACTACTACTACTACTACTACTACTACTACTACTACTACTACTACTACTACTACTACTACTACTACTACTACTACTACTACTACTACTACTACTACTACTACTACTACTACTACTACTACTACTACTACTACTACTACTACTACTACTACTACTACTACTACTACTACTACTACTACTACTACTACTACTACTACTACTACTACTACTACTACTACTACTACTACTACTACTACTACTACTACTACTACTACTACTACTACTACTACTACTACTACTACTACTACTACTACTACTACTACTACTACTACTACTACTACTACTACTACTACTACTACTACTACTACTACTACTACTACTACTACTACTACTACTACTACTACTACTACTACTACTACTACTACTACTACTACTACTACTACTACTACTACTACTACTACTACTACTACTACTACTACTACTACTACTACTACTACTACTACTACTACTACTACTACTACTACTACTACTACTACTACTACTACTACTACTACTACTACTACTACTACTACTACTACTACTACTACTACTACTACTACTACTACTACTACTACTACTACTACTACTACTACTACTACTACTACTACTACTACTACTACTACTACTACTACTACTACTACTACTACTACTACTACTACTACTACTACTACTACTACTACTACTACTACTACTACTACTACTACTACTACTACTACTACTACTACTACTACTACTACTACTACTACTACTACTACTACTACTACTACTACTACTACTACTACTACTACTACTACTACTACTACTACTACTACTACTACTACTACTACTACTACTACTACTACTACTACTACTACTACTACTACTACTACTACTACTACTACTACTACTACTACTACTACTACTACTACTACTACTACTACTACTACTACTACTACTACTACTACTACTACTACTACTACTACTACTACTACTACTACTACTACTACTACTACTACTACTACTACTACTACTACTACTACTACTACTACTACTACTACTACTACTACTACTACTACTACTACTACTACTACTACTACTACTACTACTACTACTACTACTACTACTACTACTACTACTACTACTACTACTACTACTACTACTACTACTACTACTACTACTACTACTACTACTACTACTACTACTACTACTACTACTACTACTACTACTACTACTACTACTACTACTACTACTACTACTACTACTACTACTACTACTACTACTACTACTACTACTACTACTACTACTACTACTACTACTACTACTACTACTACTACTACTACTACTACTACTACTACTACTACTACTACTACTACTACTACTACTACTACTACTACTACTACTACTACTACTACTACTACTACTACTACTACTACTACTACTACTACTACTACTACTACTACTACTACTACTACTACTACTACTACTACTACTACTACTACTACTACTACTACTACTACTACTACTACTACTACTACTACTACTACTACTACTACTACTACTACTACTACTACTACTACTACTACTACTACTACTACTACTACTACTACTACTACTACTACTACTACTACTACTACTACTACTACTACTACTACTACTACTACTACTACTACTACTACTACTACTACTACTACTACTACTACTACTACTACTACTACTACTACTACTACTACTACTACTACTACTACTACTACTACTACTACTACTACTACTACTACTACTACTACTACTACTACTACTACTACTACTACTACTACTACTACTACTACTACTACTACTACTACTACTACTACTACTACTACTACTACTACTACTACTACTACTACTACTACTACTACTACTACTACTACTACTACTACTACTACTACTACTACTACTACTACTACTACTACTACTACTACTACTACTACTACTACTACTACTACTACTACTACTACTACTACTACTACTACTACTACTACTACTACTACTACTACTACTACTACTACTACTACTACTACTACTACTACTACTACTACTACTACTACTACTACTACTACTACTACTACTACTACTACTACTACTACTACTACTACTACTACTACTACTACTACTACTACTACTACTACTACTACTACTACTACTACTACTACTACTACTACTACTACTACTACTACTACTACTACTACTACTACTACTACTACTACTACTACTACTACTACTACTACTACTACTACTACTACTACTACTACTACTACTACTACTACTACTACTACTACTACTACTACTACTACTACTACTACTACTACTACTACTACTACTACTACTACTACTACTACTACTACTACTACTACTACTACTACTACTACTACTACTACTACTACTACGGGATAGCGCCAGGCGTGACACAAACAAAATACCAAATTAAAGCTGTGTGGACCCTGGCTAGCGCCAGACGTTACTGAAGTAACGTCTTCTGCATAGCTACGGGAATAATAATAATAACGAGAGAGCTTGGAAGCTCAGGGCCCTACGCTATGCTTTTTTGCCTTGATGACCTAGACAAAAAAAAAGCATAGGGATGTTATAAATTCTTTAAAAAATTCCTTTTTTTAAAAGACATAACCTGGGATTCGAACCCGCACTATCGCGCGCCCTGCATGCATCCCCCGATACACTTCGCATACATACTAATTCTTCCAAGTTGTTTCACATTGTGATCTTGCATTTGAAAGCCCTATATGCATTGTGGCCAGCCGTCTTTGATGGCACGGTACGGTAGGGGATAGGTACGGGACAGGTACGATCGAGGGTAATACGACACCGTCTCCCGTACCGTACCGTACCATCAAACACAGCTGGCCACATACAGCTGCCCGCAATATTCAAATAGGGCTTTCAAACGCAAGATGTATGGTATGGTATTGATTTATTTGAATTCGGTATCTCAACAGTACATTGTACAACTTGGGAAGATCCGAATGACATAGATACATAAACATAAAAGTGGAGTAGGTGCTACAGCGGATCATTTTATCGCAGATTGTGGGACTAAACTAATACCAGTATGCAAGTACACAAGAAATAAAAGCTGAATAAATACGACTGCATGACATTGGAGAAAAGCACGACATAGAGCAAAACAAAGCGACACATCACTCATCGAAAACATTTTCAAAAAGGAGCTGTTTTAGCCGGGTACATTGTGGCCCGTCATTAAGAAGGCAGGCAAGATGGGCGTTAAATGCAGAAGACGTATTGCAAGACTTCATTTCGAAGGGCAGAGCATTCCAAAGTAAAGCAATCCTACTAGACAATGAGCGATACCCGCATGCGGTCTTCTATCGGCATAACGAAAGATTATTTGCAGAAGAGCCGCGAGTGGTGTAAGCAGGTGTACTGTGCCTACAAAATAGAGAATCTAAACTGGCAACCGGGTGAGCTACTTTACACTGAAAGATAAATTTAATGAACAACTGTAAGAAACGGTGGTCCAGAGGACATAGCTTAAGAGAGTGGTAAAGGGGGTCCACGTCAGCACAGTAATGGGCACCACAGGCAGCTCGGATCGCGCGACGGTGAACAGCAAATAGGCGCCCACGGTCTTTTGCAGATAAGCAGGGTAAGAACGATTGAAATGCAAATTCTAGATCAGATTGAATTACGCATAGCACATAAAGGCGTATCTCAATCATGGTCTTTGACCAACCCACGATTGAGATACGAGAGGTACCTGGTTCAAGTCCTGCCTGGGAGCGGTTTTTCCAGCCGTGCTGCTACCCACAGTCAACTGGGAACTTGTGGCCAGGCACAAGGGGTACATGGATGCAGCTAATGGGGTCGTTTTCGGCACTTGTGCCAGTGGTTGTGAGACTTACCCACTCACCCCCACCGTTAGGCGCTGCATCTGCCGCTAGGGTTTATCGGGTGTTAGCGGCCGTCGTGAGTTCCCTTCGGGAACGGATACGATAATTTACTTTTTTTTACTTACATAAAGGCGACAAGCGCACGGGGACAGTTGACGAAAAGAACGCCGTAGAGCACCAATTTTGCGTGACACCTTGGCAACAAGCTTATCACAATGAGGTGTGAACGAGAGCTTGTTGTCAATTACAACCCCCAGACAGCGAGCACTGGACACTTCTGTCAGCACTTTACCATCGATACAGATAGTGGGCGTGGGACAGACCGGCGAGCGCTTGGGAGCGATGAACATACAACAGTCTTATTATCATTGATAGTCAGGCCAAGTTGCTGAAGATCAGTAGCGAGTGCTGATAACGTGTGGGAAACTAAATCTGCAGCCTCCTTTGCCGTCGGACAGGATGCGTACACCGTTTTGTCGTCCGCAAAAGCGAGCAATTTCGTCCCGGATGTGTCAGCAGTTGCAGGAAGGCGGCGAACATAGATGTTAAACAGAGTTGGGCCCAAGACACTGCCTTGCGGAACCCCACGAGTGACAGGTAGAAATGGAGAGACCTCACCGCACCTGAGGACCCGCTGGGCTCTGCCAGAAAGGTAGGATTTAAACCATGAAAGTGCTGATCCGCTGATACCAATCTCGTGCAAAGCCAAGAGTAGCTGCTGATGCTGCACACGATCGAACGCTTTACTAAGGTCAACAAACGCGACAGCAGAGGTCAGGCTCTGGTCCCGAGCAAGACACCAGTCATTAATTGCCAAAGAGAGCAGTTGATGGACGGAGCGATTTGGGCGGAACCCAAATTGGTGATCATGTAGGAATGCAGTCGAGTCCAGGTGACAGAATAGTTGCGACATTACCACGGATTCCAACACTTTGGACAGGATCGACGTCAGCGAAACTGGGCGGTAGCTCGTTGCGTTGTAGACGTCGGTCTGAGCGGATTTTTGGGATCGGGGTGATGTTGGCTCGCTTAAAGGCAGAAGGAAACACTCCACTGCTAAGAGACGCGCTGAAGATTTGTGCCAAAGAAGGCGCCAAGGAGGACGCCATGGCCTTGAGGAAACCAGGCAGAAGGCCATCTGGACCCGGTGCCTTGCACGGTATAAGGGAGCGAAGAGCACGCTCTACCTCTGTAGTGCTGACCCGATCGAAAGAGGTCAATGCATCTTCAAGGACCGGTCCAGACGGCAGGTCGTACGTGCTTGTGGGGTCGTGGACTATAGCATGGAAGTGGTCATTCAGGTTAGGTGCAAGAATGGGAGACGACTTTGGTTTACGCTTTGTCACATAGTTGATTGTAGCCCATAAGCGACGCGGAGATTTTCTGTATTCGGCACAAATTCTCTGATAGTGCTGGTTCCGCAGACGACGATAGAGATTGTTACATTGGGTGCGAAGGCGCTGAAAGCTGTTGTAAAGCTTGGTGTCTGTGGAACCTCCCTTGCGCCACGTGCGAAAGGCCGCTTTACGCCTCCGAATTAGTGCTTGTAGCTCTGACGTAACAAAGGGGCACTTTCGACGAGGAGCATGTCGGTAATGCTTAGACGGTTTATATGGCGCTACCAAATCCAGCACTGAGTCAACTTTACTTGTCCATTCGTCAACCATACTATTCACGCTGGAAGAGAGAGAGAAAGTACAGAGGTTTGCGGACTCTAAGAGGGTCTCCAATTGCTTGATATCGGTGTTGGAAAAGTCCCGACTGGGCAGGCGCTGGTTGCAGTCAGTCGGGAAAGAGTAGGGGTCGGGGGTTGTCAAGGTTGCACATACCAAACAGTGATCGGAGTGCTCAAAGTCATGAACAATACCGCCTGAGACAGCATCTGTATTACTTAGAATGTAGTCAATTGACCATGACGACTTCGGACAAACACGAGTTGGGTCGTGAATACAGTTTAGAAAGTTAAAGGGCAAAAGAAAGTTGGTAAGGAGAGACAAGTAGAGCTGGGATGTAGGTTGGAGAGAATCCACGTTCAGGTCACCCATGAGCACCAATGAGTTACCCTGGAGTTCTGTCAGTTCCTGCGCCAGGGAAGTCCAAAACGATGCTGGGGAATTCGGGGGTCTGTAGAGGCAACCAAGATGGAAGGGAGCAGCATTGCGTCGCCGGCGAGATGTAAGCCAGAGCATTTCAAAATTATTTGAGCTTCGTAGCAAGTGCCAGGTAAAGCCAAGTCTAGTGCTGGTGTACACACAGACACCTCCCGCCTTGCGGCAGGGGACTGAAAGACCACTAAGGCAAGGGCAGCTTCGTGGACACTCTCGGTCGCGTCGGAACAGCGTGTACCCGTCAATAGCTAGTTCTGAGTGAGCAACTGTATTGTCAAGCCAGGTTTCAGTAATAGCGAGAACATCCAGGGAATGGTCGGAGATGAGGGATTGAATTTCATGGAGTTTATGTCTGAGGCTACGCACATTTAAATGACCGATATTGATGTTATGATTAGTATGATGACTGGGTAGAGATATTGGTGGTGGAGGATGTGATCTGGGGGTGAACGGTGGTGCGAGTGGATTTAGAGGAGACATGTTTACTGATTGGTACCGTGGGCGACTCGATCAGTCTCCCAATACTACTTCCGCACAGTGAAATCCTCGGGCCAGAACTCCTTGTCCAACACTTTCGCCGTGTACGTTTCAGGGACCACCAGATGTGCGTACGAAAGTCCGAAGTACTTTGTTGCGGAAATGGAGCACTTGATAACTTCCACTTGCTTCTTCTGACACCATTTCGCGATAGCGTCAGCTGAGCAGCTGGGATCAATGTTTCCCACATGGATTGCACTGCATTTCACACGGCGACCTGCAACGAGACGGTCAGACGTGCCAGAAGGTTGTTTGGGCGGCTTGTGGTAATATGATACCACTCTGGTTTTCTGTGGGACTGGCTGGGCTGGGCTAGGGCTTGTACGACGTGGGTGTACACTTGAGCTAGAGGGGGGTCCGGAAGATTGCAGGGTAGCAGCATAGGATTGCGCACCATAGCCCGTGCTTGTCCCCGTTTCATCAAGTGGCGTATGTGCATGTGTTTGACCTTTTGAGAGGTGCGTGCCTCCCGTAGCATGCAAGGCAGCCTCCCCGCTTTTTAGGACGGCTAGCTCGGTCTGTACGGCAACAAGATCAACTCTCAACTCCCGTACGTTCTTTTTCAAATCCACGACTTCTCTATTCGTCTCGTGTAATTTGTCCTCCATTCCCTTCATGGCGGTTATTTCCGCCTTCAACTCCCTTACTACATCTGTGAGGTCTGACAGGGCTGAGCACAGGCTCGAAACAGCATGATCGCTACCAGAGAGACTTACACCATTGTAGGTGGCGTCCTGCGATGCCCTCAGTGCAGCAACAAGTTCGGTCCTCGTGGCTTTCCGCGGGACGTCCAGACCACGGTGTCGGATGAGGTCCCTCAGCTCTGAGTCGATCAGGATCGCAATGTCCACTTTGTCAGTGGACTTGTCAGCCATACTGGATACAAGGCAAAAAGTATTCCGAGGGCCAAAGGCCCAGGGAATCACGAAAAAAAGGGGGTACTTTCCGGGAGCTCCAAAAAAGGCTACCGCTCTCAACCGTCTCAGTGCAGACCCAAGATAATAACGTGAAGCAACTTGGAAGAATGGGTATGAATGCGAAGTGTATGGGGGAATGCATGTAGGGCGATAGTGCGGGTTCGAATCCCAGGATATGCCTGAAAAAAAATAGGAGAATTGAAAAAATGTTGTATTTCTCGCCGGCCGAGCGTAGCGAGATAGGCGAGAAATGATTTATCGCGAAATATTTTTCAGTTGCAAATATGGCATCTGGTGTGTTCTTTGTTGTCGCTTCTTTTCCTGACTTCTTCAGTCAGTTTTGAGTCTCACCAGTGTCCCTGCCCTCCCACCCTTTATTTCTGTGCATATTATCAATGCTTTTTATCACTGTTTGCCTACATGATGCCTAATCGCCATTGGGGATATACACCCGGTTTTTTCCCTCACAAATGCGTCCGTCGGCGCGAGGGTTTTTTCCCGGCTGGCTCGGTCCAGGAAAATTAATCTGACGGTCCCAAGTGGTTCTGCATCATGGCCTATTTCTGCTATCTACTGGCACGACTATTCTTTCTGAGACACTCTGTTCTCAGTCCTTGCTTGCTTCCATACCTCACTCGTTATCCGGTTCACATCTGGCTGCGGCCAACTACCCAGTCACATCTGGCTGCGGCCAACTACCCTTCACTTTGTGTGTTGTCGCTATTGCTGTCTATGTCTCTGTGTATGCCAGTATATGTGGAGCGAGAATATAAAATCCTTTGCTTTTTTGCCGTCAGATACGGATAGCGCCTGGCGTGACACAAACAAAAAACACACAAACAAACACCAAATTAAAGCTGTGTGGACCCTGGCTAGCGCCAGACGTTGCTGAAGTAACGTCTTCGGCATAGCTACGGGAATAATAATAATAATACCACAGCACGCGTACAAAGGCCAAAGAACAAGGCATGAAAATATACTGAAATTAAAAGCCAAGTCCGCTTCTGTCTCCAGTGAACAAAAAGTCATCCATAAACAATGTCTGATCTCCAGTTCGACTTGTCTGCAGCAAATGCTCGTGCTCCTTCTAGGTCGCTGGCATTCTTCAAAGGGATGTCGTGCGCTGCCAGGTCCTTAATGATGGTGGTAGGGAGAGTAGCTGCGGGACGGCCCCTTCGTCCACGTGAACGAAAATAGCAGGACCTCGCAAGGCTAGGGGGTGACTGCTCACTCATCCTCAGCACATGGCCAGTGAGGCTAAGGCGTCGCTTGGCAACAAGCTCCGACAGTGTCTGCGAGCCACATCTGGAATACAGATCATGCCAGGCCCGGAAATTTGGTGTAATGTTAAATTCAGTGTTATTGAAAAAAAAGGGAGTAGCAGCAGGGGAAGCTGAGAAAACTCACAATAAATCAGCTGCCACCACCCTTCCTCTATCGTTTTGCCTCGTTCTGGAACTCATTTCTTTAAATCTCCTCTTTTCGGTTTATCAGTTGTCTGGAACAAGCTTCCTGAGAGCCTACGCAGGGAGCGATCTTCTGCTAAGGCTCGGTTTCTCTTGAAGGACCATTATTTAACGTACAAATTTTCCACCACTGGAATTCCTGATTTTCGTATCTACTTCGAAGTAGCTCTCGTCATGTATTCTGTTTCTCCCTGGTGGTTTTACCTGTAGTTTTCCCTGAGCAGTGTTTCTGCTAAGTACTATTTTCCCTTCTCCCTTTTCACTTCCCTTTCGTCTCATCCACCCTTCCAGGAAACTCCCCCGATAAGTATCCATTTACCTTTGGAGAATCCTTCAAATAAAGTCTAAATGTAATGTAATGTAAATCCCATCCGGTGCTTATGTTGACATGGGGTTTAGCATCACGAATCTCAATCGCCTCGCGCAGTTTGCGAAGGGCTCGATCAGGCTCTCTCCCCATTACTTCAACTGCAGAGAATGCACTTTGCCCATAGTTGAGCTTGCATCCAGGGCGAGTGGTGCGAAAATGTTGGCCCCATGGCTTGTCGAGTTCCTGTCGTCTTGCCTCACCATTATGTTCTTCCAGGCCAGTTTCCAGAAAGCGGCCAGTCTCACCAACATATTGTTCCGGACATTCTTTGCACTTCAGCGGATATACAACATTCTTCTGCATACATACATCCTGTCCCCCGGATATTCAAGAGATACACGGCCCCTTTGGGCGACCTCTCTTTTTCGGTTGGAGCGGATTTGCAGCCTTGATACATAGAGGAGGAACGAAGGCGGAGCGACACAATGTGCGCCTCAGGCTACCAGTGTGCTCATATACGACTCTAACCGGAATTTCATACTTTCTGATTGCTTTATTCACTGCTTGATGTACTTTATCTGACTTATATGGAAGCTTTAGAAATGCGCAGCATGGGTTGGCACGGCGACGATGCTTTGGCCTCATGGTAGGCCTTGGCGGATAATGCTCGAAAAGGTGGCAGATTATGCTTTTTTTGCACCGAAATTGGCAGAACCATACAAACCTTATGGCGGGCAATTCCTCGAGTTCTGCTCCATTTCTTTATCCACATACCAAACATGCATGAAACTTACCAGAAAAAGTACCGAATTCTGCCAATTTTTCTGCCGGCATTATCCGCCAAGCCCTACCTCATGGAGGCAGTCCGTGACTCTTCAATGATTCTCTCTGGGTAATTGTTCAATCTTTTAAATTTGTTCATGAACCCTCGCCTCACTTTCTGCACGCATTCTGGTATTCGATGAGAGCCTCTGAGCTCTTAGGAATTGTGAAGAAGCAACCGCCAATTCGATATGGTGGGGAACTGCCGAAGTATAATCAATGAGTAGACCGCGTGCACATGCCTTTTTTGGCGCTACACTCTGCGTATAATACTGCTCTTGTGTGGCTTTCCCGGTATTCGTTGTTATTACCTGACGATGGCCAAGTGCCGAAACGTTGTAAAAATAACGGAACTGGTTCGGATGTGCAGCGCTACGGGAATGGGTGTGTCCACCCGAATTCCTTTCATCTATTTTGTGTTTGTTTTATGTAATGCATTGCAAATCCAAGGACAATCATCCCCAAATGGATAACATATAACCAGGATAGGTGGAGTAAAGAAAACAGTGAGTCTGGAGAACTCTCGGGATAGGGAACATCCTAGCATTAGCCATGAAAGTAAACTATCAATAGACGCTTGAATCGGCATGTGGTAGGGCATGACTTTAAGGACGAGGGCAAACAATTCCACAACTTAGCAGCAGCAAATGCTGGTCTGTGAGATCCCGAAGTACTGCGGATATTGGGAAGGGGCAGATTGCAGGCATCCTGACCTCTGGTGGCACGGGGCAGCGAACTGTATTCCAGGCGGGATTTGAGCAGCGAACTGACTTTGCCGTGAAGAATATGGTGTAGGAGAAGCCGCAACTTGCAATCCACTCGCTCGAGAGCCGGACAGATGCCGAGTTAGGCATACAGCTGCATTGTGTGGGCACGTGAGGGCTGGGTTGTGATACAGCGGATGCAGCGCGTATCCAGGCTGATGAGGCTCTGTTTGAGGCTTGCTGAAAGGCTGGCGAAGTAGGCGTTCGAGGCGTAGAGTAGGTCAGGTAGGATAAGAGCTGTGTAGTAAAGGAGGGACTGCGCACGGGTGATGTCTGCTCTGATGTGGCGCAAGACTCGGAGTTTGTAGGACACCTTCTTCACTACAGCAGCCACTTGACTTGCCCAGCTCAAGCGCTCGTCCAGACAAATACCAAGGTATTTGGCTGTGCTGGTTTGAGCCAGAGGAATGCCACGACATGTAACTTCAAGCTCTAGTCCATTCCGCCTTCGGGCGGAGATGCCCAGAAGAACCTGGGTTGTCTGCGCGTTGAGGATTAACCCCTTGTCTGCCAGAAATTTTGCAACTCCGGACACTGCAATGGAGAGGACACGGTTGATGGTAGCTAATAGCTACATCAGAACTGCTGGTGTAGATCATGATATCGTCAGCAAACATCAGAACCAGCGCTGGTGACGCACACTGCACTACGCTCCTTGTGCAAA